TTTGGTTCTTATTTTTTTTGCATGGCTGATTACTATTTATTTTAATGTTCATGCACATTCAATTCACTAAAATCGTACTATTCTTTTTATTATTTATGATATTTCTTGTTATTTTCAAACTATTTTATGACATTTAATCTTGAAAGTTTTTAGAAATGTTACACTTTGGTGTTTTGTTTTTTCATATATTTTTGTTTCGATTTCAAGCTTCATTTGTATTGTGGTTTAGCCCCTAAATGTAGAGAGGAGAGAGACAAGAGGAAGAAAAAAGAAGAGAGAAAGAGAGAGACATGTCGAGGCTCTATTCTGGCCACATTGATTATCGATATTACCTTTAATTTGTTCATCTTTAAGAGAAGACTTTGTTTGTGACATTTATAAGTCATGAAATTATTAAAAAAGATAGATTGAAACTCCAAAATATTTTGATTTTTTTTTTTTTTGTGTGTTAAAATGAGTTTTGAGCCTTTAAACGAATTTTTTTGCTTATTTCTTTGATTTTAAGATTTTTTTGAAAAAATACGACGGTGAAATTCGATTTTGGAGGCAAAAAATTAGAGAATCCCGATTTTTTGATGAAATTTTCATCCATCTAGAATTGATCGAAACTAGCAGTCGGATCATTTGTTTTATTATTATTATTATTATTTAAAGCTAGCTCACACTGGCCTAGTTTTCCAAGAACAAGCGTGCGTGCCTCGATTAGTTTTTTAACCATTTTTTCAATGATTTATTTTATTTTTTGCAAAAAAATATGGAAGATTGATTATTTATTTATTTATATTTCCATACAACCTAACTAGGATATATATATATATATATATATATATATATATATATTACTCATATGATTTTTAATGAGACTTGTAAGCGTAGTTTAGATAATTTACCTTAGAATTTTCAAAAAACAAAATTAATTAATTAATAATTAAATTTCAAATTAAAAAAAGAATGGAAAAGAATTCTTCCACTTCCAAGGCCTCTACATTAGGACTAGCCACGTACGAAATCAAAATATTTAATTAATTTACATATTTTATTTACTCATTCTTTATATAATTAAAATTTATTCTATTAGTTTTGTTGTGGTTTTTATTCAATACATTCATTACAAGTGATAGGTTTTTCTTTTTTAAACGTTTTTCAATTTATGTTGTAGATTCTGAAACCTCTTAATATAGTTATGATGTATAAGAATGATATTGAATCGTTGGTTTCATTGAAAATTAATTATGTATCTATACACAAACATCGAGCATTTACTATTTATTTTGAATATTTTGAAATCAATTTCCTTTAAATAATATAATTAACATTATTTTCTGGAAGAACTACCTAATGATTCCACCACTGTTTATAAAGAAATCGGTTTGGTGTCACATTATGGCATTGATCCTCCCGCGCGGGAAACTAAGTAGTTTGAACTAAGCAATTTGACATTTGACAAAGTCATTTCCTTACACCTTAAGTGAATTAAACTCAGTAAATTGCCGTTGGTGACCCTTCGCAGTGAGTGTGGCAACATTTCCCCCAAAAAGCTTTGCAGCTTCTTGAAAGTCGCTGAGCTTATATTCCTGAAGCGCCTTTGGATTAAGATTAGTGTATTTCTTATGTGTTTCTTAAATCCTTGTATCTTCTTTTAATCCTTTGATTGTTCATCTCTAAATGCGCTCTCACACACACATACGTTAGACTGGATATAATTGACATCATTTGCAGATTTATTGTGCTCACTTGTTTCTCACCTACCCGGTTGCAAGAAAGCTTGCTGCTTGTTAACATGGCTGTGCTTCTCTGCTTCTTTCTTTTATAATATAATAGTCCAGGTCTTTCAAGAAAAATTAACTTATTTTGGGTCAGGTGTGCTTTCTTTTACCTTTGATTCATATATTATTCTGAAATTTATGTAGCCATGCTTAAAGAGCCAGGAACTTGTTATGGTTTGTCTATATTTTGAACCTCTGTGCTATGTAGTGACAGTGAGTCAAGTTTGTTTTTTTCTTATTTCAAACTTTTGTGTTAGATAGCTTCTTTCAATAAATAAATTTTCCCTCAAAAGAAAGGTGAATTCCAAATTACAATCTGTCTGTAGGGAGAAAATAGGGAAAAATGGCTAGACGGAATGATCAATTCTGGGATTATGTTCAGAAGATGGATAATCATTTGGTGTGTAAATTTTGCGACTTAAAATTTGCGCTTAGTTCTTCAATTTCGTGGATCAAATATCATCTATCAAGGGTTCGACGGCACGGTGTTGCAATCTGTGAAAAAAATGCCTAAAGATCTCCAAGAAGTAGCTCATTTAGCCATTCATGATCCAAATAGAAAGCTTAATAACATAAAAAGCTTAACATTATTAAGGATAAATATGAATTACAAAACTCAAATAGTAGTTAACTACAATTAAAATTCAAATGTAGTTTAAATTCAAATAACTTTATAGTAGAGTTAGAACTCTATACTTGTACAATCCTCACAGTATATATACCGATCTTGAATATAATAAAAATACAGAACTTCAACACGCTTAATCTCTTTATGGTATCACAGCCTTTACAGCTTAAAAGCTCCTCAACCGATCCATGGCTTCCTCCATTATTGAAAACCAAATTTTTTCCTTCAATGCGACCACCCATCTATTCACCAAACTCACTAAGTCCAATTTTTTTGTATGACATATCCAACTAAGCGCTACTCTCATTGGTCATAATCTCTTTAACCACATTAATGGTTCACTACATACACCTACGGAAACTACAGATTCAAAAGACACATCTAAAATCATTATCAATTCCATATACCTAACTTGGTATAGGTAAGATCAATTGATCTTAAAGGCTATATTGGGGAGTTGGATTCCTGAAATTCAATCCCATATTTTCACAGTTTCATTCTCACAAGAAGCATGGTCCAGACTTTCTATCATGTTTGCAAATAAATCTCGCTCTCGTATTATGTCTGTGAAAGAAAAACTTCATGACAATCCTCATGGTACCTAAACGATAGTTGAATACCTACAAGAAATTCGAGCCACTACTGATGCACTTGCAATTGCTGACAGTTCAGTAGAAGAAGAAGATCTCATGATGCATGTACTGAAAGGTGTTGGAGAAAAACTGTCACATTGTTGTAGCTATCCGTGTGAGAGATATTATAATCTCATTTGATTAACTCTTTGATAAACTGGATGAAAGTGAAAGGTGACTCTAGCAGTACTTCAACATCAGTCTCAATCTTAACCTTGCAATAGCAAACTGAACCTCATGTTACTCTCCAATCATCATTACTTGGAACACCATATTCAATACTGGTTCCTCACAGCCAACATGGCACAACAAAAACCACAGGGCTAATCTCTCCACCTCACGCCCTATATGGTAGCCTGCACGTCCAACTCTCCCACGACCTCCTGCCAAGTCAATCCTTTTTTGTCGTTTTTGTAAAATCCTAAGACATATCACAAATGACTGTTGCAAACTTGCAAGGTTCCTAAGAACAAATAATGTATCCCTTGGCTCTAATTTTCAATCAACCTTTCCGCCACCCATAGCCAATGTGGCCTCTGTTGGTTCCACTATAACTCAGCCTTGGTTATTTGATTCTAAAGCATCTCATCATGTCACTAGCAGTATGCACAATCCATCCTCCTATTCAAACTATGGTGGTCAAGATGAGATCAGCATTGGTGATGGTACATGTTTGAAAATCTCCTCCATAGGCACCACCACCTTAAATCACAAAAATCACTCATTGCTACTAGATAATATCTTATATGCTCCTTCTATTAAAACAAATTTAATCTCTGTCTCTCAATTTTGTAAAACTAATTATGTCTTACTTGAAGCTTTTCCTCGATATTTTCATGTGAAGGATCTACGCATGAGGGCGCCTCTACTTTGTAGGGAGAACATCAATGATGTATATTATCTCTTGCCCTCGGGCAGTCCACAAATACATCACATCACTACAACTCCGTTAGCTATATGGCATCAATGTCTTGGTCATCCAAGAATGCCAATTCTTTACTCTACTCTTAGTGCTAACACAATAAACTTAGGTTCCTCATCATCATCCAAATTTTATTATACTTCCTATGCTTTAAATAAAAGTCATCATCTTCACTACCATCGCCGATCCCAAATAGCATGAAGCCATATCCGAAGAATTCAATGCCTTGATGAGAAATGAAACATGGGATTTAATACCTCTAAGCACATAGAATCTTCTAGGTTGCAAATGGGTCTTTTGAATCAAGAGAAACCCGGATGGTACCATAGCTAAATACAAAGCTAGACTAGTTGCCAAGGGCTACCACAAAACGCCCAACACTTGATTTTTCGAAACCTTCAACCTTGTATCTAAACCTATAACAATCCAACTCCTTCTCGGTCTAGCACTTGGCAATGGGTGGAGATTAAGGCAACTAGACATTAATAATGTATTCCTCTAAGGAACCTTCTCCGATGATGTATACATGATTCAACCTTCGGGTTTTGTCCATCCATCCCTACCCAATCACATTTGTAAACTCAAAAAGGCCATCTACGAATTGATACTAGCACTAAAAGCCTGGCATGAAGAATTGAAAACCTTTCTATTAAAATCGGGATACAAGAACTCGGTAGTAAATGCCTTACTTTTTATAAATAACAATGATGATATTTGTGCATATTTTTTGGTATATGTGGATGATATAGTATTGACAGGAAATAATGATAGCTACTAGGAGTCCTTTATTCAATGCCTAGCAGACTTGGTTCTCCTTCAAAGACCTTGGAATATTGCATTAATTCTTAGGGGTTGAGGTCATTCATACTAATGATGGTACTGTTCTTATCCCAGACATCCCTATATAGTTGATATACTTGGATAAATTTTTAATAATTGGTGCCAAGGAGGTCACTAAACCAATGTGTCATTCCATGCCATTATTGCTACAAGATGGCTCATCCCTAGTTGATATAATCGAATACAAGAAACTAGTTGCTAGCCTATAATACCTGTCTCTCACATGTCCTAATGTTTCCTTTGTAGTGAACCATCTATCCCGGTATATCCATTCTCCATCGAGCTTCAATGGACTCGCCTTAAAAAGGGTTATTGGATATTTAAAGGGGACAATGAATCATGGTCTCGTTTCTATGAAAAAACACTCTATTTCAAATCGAGTGGTTTCGATAATTCGATGAGGGTGGAAACGAGAGATGATGGTAGATCAACTACATCATACATTATCTACTTGGGTTTAAATGGTATCCCTTGGAAATCAAGTTGTTAGAAATCGGTTTCACAATCCTCATCCGAAGCTATGTACAAATTAGTGGAAAATACTACTGCCGACATTCTTTAGATTCGAATCTCCTATTGGAATTGGACATTACACTCACACAAGCACTAATAATTTTCTCGTGACAATAAAGGGACCACTTATTTTTATATCAATCTTGTATTTCACTTCGACATAAAAAAATCTCTCTAGACTATGACTTTGTGTGAGAATAGGTAGCCAAAGGCATCCTCAAAGTCCTTTATATCTCTACCAAAGATTAGTTTGCGAGACATTCTTACAAAGCCTTTCACCAAACAGCAATATAGTGCATTACAATCCAAGATTGGAGTAACTAACGGTGCCTCCATATTGTGGAGGTGTATTAAGGATAAACATGAATTACAAAACTCAAATAGTAATTAACTATAATTCAAATTCAAATGTAGTTTAAATTCAAATAGCTTTACAATAGAGTTAGAACTCTATTCTTGTACAATCCTCACACTATATATATTGATCCCGAATATAATAAAAATATAGAACTTCATCATACTTAATCTCTTTAAACATCATGGCAGGGAAGGATACAAATGGAAACTCAAGTCATGGAATAAGAAGTAGAGGAAGAGAGAACTCCTTTGCATGCAAAAGTTGAAAAAGACATCGAAACATCACTAGAATAGACCGACCTTTTTCACCTAGAACGAAGCATGGATGGATGACATGATGGGAGAGATTTAGTCCATGGAGAAAGGTAGAGTTCCCGGAGGATTATGTTCAAGGTTTATTATGAAAGGCTAAAGCTAGAAGTTTATAATGAAGTTCTAAAGAGAATTGAAGTGTTGAATTTTGAAGAAGCAAATCTTTGATGATCACTTGTTGCTTGATTTCAATCGCTTTCCTCACGAGTCCGTAATAATTGAATCCTTTTTTTCTATTATTATCTTTACCTTTTATTGAGCTTTTTAATAAGAAATTAGTCACGAAGTTTGAAATTCCGTTATTTTTTTTAAAAAAATTATTTTTGTATTATTCAAATTTTTCTAATTGAGATTTTTATTTTTTAAAAACTTGATTGAAACCCTTTATCCTTAGAAATTTGTTGATTCAATCCTTTCGTTAATTATTCATTTGACGTGACACATTATCGTTAATGACCATAAATCGGTGATCAATGCATAGCACTGTGAGTCTCAAATAATAGTGTTTTGTTCAAAATTAAAAAAAAAAAGATTTAAAAGTATTTTTCATAATAAAATAATATTGAAGAATTAAAAAAAAAATGAGAAAGACTAATTTCTCCAACCCCATTTTCCCACCATCAATCATTTTACATTCTCTCTCTCAAAAAAAAAAAAAAAAAAAAAATCAAAACTCCAAAATCCCAAAAGTTTCAAAATTCCTTAAGCCGATATCTCCAAGGCTTAGATAAAGGCGTTTTGAACTTAGCTACACTTGGTCGCTTAAAGATTCCAATCCCGAGTACAATTAAGTGAAGTCCGCTTTTCTTCTCCACTTTGTTTTTCCGTGTTTGTCTAGGTTGAAATCAAAGCTAGGCGTGGCATTTTTTTGGCTTTAAAGCAAGAGTGGACGTACTTTATGAGCTATAGGGGCCCGAGCCCCCTCTAACTCTTTTTTTTCTTTAATCCCGGTTGGTATTAAATGTTTGTGGATCCATATATTAAAGGGATCAATACATAATTAATTTGCCGATACCACGATCCATATATACATCAACATAGTGTTCCTTAAAGTAACTACATTAGTAATTGACATCAAATTAAGGTTGTCCATTATGTCAAATCATAGTGGACGACTAGACAATTTCTTCACTGTTACTAAAATGTTTTTCGATTTTAGGTTTTAAAACTCTTTCATATATAAAGATGAATTAATTAAGCCAAAAAGATAAAAATAATATCGTAACTACGGTGAACCTTCTTTTATTTATCTATAGTAAAGCAAACTAAATAACGGTTACTAAAATTGATTACAAATTCTTTAAAAAAAAATTAAATATTTTAATTTATATATCCATCAAAACCATAACTAAGCCAAATATCATATAAATCTCGAAGATTAAGAAATACAAATTATATGTTGCAACCAACTTCTCAATATGCTTGGAGGCTAAATTGGAAGATTAGGGAATGATTGATGTCATGGCAACTTACGTCATCCTTAATTTGTCATCGGATTCTAAATATTAGAGGCTAAATTGATTATACATTGCCAAAAATACAAGTTAATTAAAATGAGTACAACTCGAAGGATTAATATAATAAGCCTTGCTAACTACTATTTTGCTTACAAGAAAAAAATATTAACATAAGGGATTAAACTAAGCATATTAAAGCTTAAGTTGAAGTAGAAATTTTACCCTCAAGATTTTATCGATCATGAAATTAAGGATGCAATTTGAGCATTTTGATCATGTATCGAATCTTTCGATCTCAAAACATTATCAACTATATCGATTGGTGTCATTGGCTAATGAAGATAAGAAAATTTGAAAGTTATCCATCCGTATATAGAGTAATAACACTTATTCTCATTCTTTCGGTTTCTACGGTCATCACGGGACGGTCATTTTCAACTATGAGCATAGTTTAGACTAAACTTCATAACAAGATGGAAGATGACTTTCCTTCCTATTGTTTGTTAGCATATATTGAAAAAGAAATTATTGAAAATTTTAATATAAATTCGTTTATAGATAATTTTCATGATTTGAAAGAATAAAGATCCGTATTTTGAGACTATTTAAAAAATATATATTGGTATGTTATATATATATATAAGTTTGTGTAAACCATGACAAATTAATAAATATTTATTTTGGCCCACATGAACATTTGGTCCTATGTCTACCACTACTTTAAAGGGTCTTATATTTTCTTGCTCGGATCAATTGACTTCTTGAAATTGCTTCTTCATACTCCACTCCTCTTAAACCCAATTGGAAAATATTTTGAATTTAGTAATAGAAGACCCTCAACTGAATATTTCATAGAGTTGACTTTTGTAAAACTCAACGGGAAGATGGTGGCCTTAAATCAAGCTCTCCTAGCCAATTTATAGTAAGGAGGAGGCTTTGATTTAAATGCGAGAGGAGAGGAGGGGTTTTGGGATGCCAAAAAGGAGAATGGTTATTAAAAAGAGCAAGAGAGAGATGAAAAAAGCGACAAGTGAAAATGTTTGTGAAGATGAAGTTAACCGGAGCCGTTCTTTTACATAACTTTCTTGATGGATGTTTTGATTTGGTTGAGTGGGAGAGATGGTAGGAAGAAGTGAGTTCGGCCGGATGTTGACACAACAAATGTTGCCACCAATATAAGAGGAGATAGGCATCGTCTCCACTTTCTCTTTTGTTGTTGGATTTTGTCGTTTTCAATTTTTCAATCACTATTGGGATGGAATCATGGGATCTATTGACACTTTCGATTTTTTGTTATACTTGGTTGCTTGTGATATATAATGAGTAATTCAATTAATAATAAAAAGGTATATAATTATCCCGTAAAAAAAAAGGATTTTGGGAAATAATAGGGATGGCTCTAATATTTTAATTTTAAATATTATTGAAAACAATTTTTTTTTAATTTACGTAAAAAATATTGTAATTTGAGACCCATAATGTCACGTGTTTATTATTGATTAATAGCTTTTAACGTTAATGTGCCACTTTAGATGAATAGTTAATGGAGTTATAACGAATAATTTGAATAATAAATTTCAAAGAATATAAGGCTTTAATCAAATTAAAAAAGAGTAAAGGGTTTCAATTAAAAAAAATTGAACTCGTATGGGGACCAAATTAAAAATAATCCCTTTGGCTATAATATTGTAAGGTATAATTTATTTATTTATTATTATTATTGTATGCTTTTATCTAATGTATTATCAAAATCTGCATTTAATTTTGTGGTTTTGGTGATAAATGTAGATATGCATTGGATGTGAGTGGAGAAAGCAGGAGATGTGCCTAGGCAAAAGAGTTACTTTATTTATAAGTGGGAGACTGGCAGTAGATCAAACCCAACCACAGAGAGATTATAGCTGCCCTGGGTTATAATGTAACCCTGGAAAAGTGAGTGAAACTCCTGCACAAATGCAAGCATTAAGAAGCAATCATATTTGACTGAAATTAGAGGGGTATGCCAGGCCGGTGCTGTAATGCAGCGCAAAGGCGACACTAGAGAGCCCCAGTAGCAAGCTACTGTGATAGACCGCCCTTAGAAAAATAAATTTAATATCGATGCAATCCATTGGCTCACATCAGTTATTAAAATTAATAAGAACAGATACTACACTTCATCTTGGCCAAAAGAGACCGAGAAAAGTATACGTTTTTAGTAGTAAAGGAGCTTTATTTTATACAGCCGTTTTGCTTGGTCCTCCGTTATTCTTACAACGTGGGATAGACAAAATACAAACTGGGCTAGTTACTGCGGTCTCCATTTATTTGTTATTCCTCGTCCCATAACCATGAAATAAAGACTGGCCGTAGAAAGGATTTATCCTTGTCCAGTCTCCTACAGTATGAAAAACATATGCTCTCTATGCAGCTAAAGTTCATGATCCGCCAATTATTTCTGAACAAAGGGATCCCAAATATGAAAATTCCAGGTAATAGCTACACTACTGAAGTTCCGAGCTATGCTAGCTTCTCTGATTTTGTAAGCTCGATGAAGTCTTGCCATTTCAACTTGATTTCAACGATGTGTTATCTAAGCTCTTATTTTTTTATTTTTTGGTTTTTACTAGGTATCTCTCTCTTACATTAAAGACAGAGTTAATTATATTTGAAGCAAGAACGATAAAATTGAACTCGTTTCAATAAATACGATTTTAAGATTTAAATCTTATATTATTGGTAGAAAATTCATCCAATGATCAGCTTATTTACCACTAGGTCAACAACTTATTGGTTCTCATTTGTTCTTTTAAATCATCTCGACTGATTACCTTTGATTTCATTAGCAAATTCGTTTTGCTCAACTGTTTTCTCTCTTACTTCATTACGAGGAAATTTGCTTGTTGTTGGCTTGGGTGTCCTTCACTTTTATAATCAAAGCCTTTCAAAATAAATCAACTTATAGGATCAGGTGTGCTTTCTTTTGCCTCTATTTGATGTTAATCTGAAACTTATCTAGTTATGGTTAAAGAGAGAAAAATTTTCTGCTTTGTCTATATAATCAAGGTTCAAGATTTCTTAGTTATTATTTCCCCAAATCTTATCATAGAAAAGCCTTTATTTTTCCAGTGGACAATTTTTTTCTATCTGTAGGGCCAAATAAGGCGGGAAGTGGTTAGATCAAATGATCGGTTTTTGGATTTTATTGAGGAGATGGACAACGGTCAAAGTGTAAGTTTTGTGAGTTGAAATATGCGGCTAGTAATTCAATTTCAAGGATCAAACCTTATCCCTCTGGAGTTCGCGAAGCGGTGTCAAAATTTGTGAAAACGTTCCTAATGGTGTCCAAGAAGCAACCTATCTAGATATTCATGGTGCAAATAAAAATCTTAAAACCGTTAGAAGTTTAAGCAATAAGGTGGTAAGTGATATTCCAGCATGATCATAATCACGACAACATGTCTCCTCTGAAAAACTATCCGATTAAGAATTCATCTTCAACAGGACAATCCTTACCGGCCGTTAATGACCATCACAATTGGGTGAAACATGAAAAAACAATACAAAGGAATGGCTTGAATAAAGAAGATATTCGTACATCCACTTGTTAGATAAAAAATGATGTACATTAATTTAATGTTGGGCTTCCAAAATGTTTATGTCACGTCATCATTAATCATAATTGTACATGCATGGTCCCCTCAAAAGATCTTAAACCTTCAAATGCATATTAAAAATCATTGAACATATTAAAATAGACAAATCTACTTTTAATTTATACAAGTTGATCATCATCTTCTGATGACTCTAAAGAACTCCCTCGAATGTCTCCCAGATGGATGTATTTGCCACCATACAATAAGAATGGTATGTTCACCGCCTAACTCCAACGAAGGACCCCTCACACTATCTTAATCAAAAGAAGTATTGGTTTTATTGCTAGGATATTGCCATAATACGGAGAACTCTTATTTCTTGAGGGAAAAAAAGTAGAAAAGCTAATAGTTGGGGTTACTTCAAACAGTGCATCAAAATAGAAAGGCCAAAAACTGACAAGCCAACGTCAATAAAGACCCCCACAAAGAAAATTTCCTCAAATCAATGCGATTTTGGAGAGGCTATTCGCCAAGAAAAAACCTAACAAAAAGAAGATGGAGGCTATGCTTATATTGTTTTTTAGCACCATCCTAACACAAGTTTATGCTAAAAAACAGTATAAAGATTTTTTATAACACATACAAAGAAAAAATAGTTAATTAATGAAATATTGATCTCATGTCTTCAAGAAAAAAGATGATTGAAACTAAAAAAATCTAAAAGTGCTCATTTGATTTTTCAAACTATGAGAAATGTCAAGAAGGATAAAACTACCCTCAAAGTGAAAAATCATAAAAATGTGCTGATGAAGTAAAATAACGATAATAGTAAATGTTTCTTATATAGGAAATAGGGGCATGTTAAGAAATATTTTCTTAAGTATAAGAAATGGCTCGTAAAAAAAGGTTAACTCATCTCTTTTATGCGTCATTAATCTTTTTTTTATTTTTTATTGAGACTTCTAGTAATGCATGATAGATTAATTCTAGATGTAAAATCCATATTTTAAATACCATGCAAGGCTTTCTAAATCTATAGATGTCAAAAGAAAATAATGAAGGCATTTATTCAAGAAATCGGATGCACTCTAAAGTTGAAAACTTTAAGGAATTTTAGATTAATTTAAAAATATGGATATATTTTGAATTTGAAAAATATCTTTTATGCTCTATCATTTTTCAAAAATTTGATTTTAGTTTCTAGATTTTATAGTTTTGGCTTTAGATTTTTGTTTGATGGTGTTATAACTTATTTTTGACGCCATTAATATTCATTTTAAATGTTTTCTTTTATTTTATGTTCTTCAATAATGTATTTTTCCCATGATTTTTTTTATTATGTTTCTTCTATTTAGTTTTAATTTACGTTTAATTTCTCATGGATCACCTCGTCATAAAAGAAAGAAAAAGAAGAAAAAAGAAGAAAAGAAAAAAAAAAGGTGAAATTAATCAAATATGGGTTCAATAGAAAAAAGATAGGTGGAAATTAATTTTTCTCCTCCTTGGGCCTTTTCCTTCCCTTGTTTTTTTTCTTCTTTCCACCATTTCAGTGGCTTTTTCTTCACATCAAAAACATATTTTCTCCCTTTCCTAACCTTTTTGGCATCCTCATCTACATCCACTCTTCATGCATCAATCTTATCCCTTAGCATCCAAACAAACAAAAAACTCAAAACAAACTTCATCCCTATTCTCTCTTGATTCCCTCCATTCCTAGCCTTATAAGGGCAACACACACAAAAGAAAGCAAATGAGGGAGAAGAAAGAGACAAGGGTGAAGTGTCTAATACGCATCAAAAAGGAAGGAATGAGTTGAAGACAAGAAGATCTAAGAAAACACTACAAAAAAATAATTCATTTAGCGACGGTCTAAACCGTCGCTAAATGAAAAAAACTGTGGCTAATTAAACTTAGCAATGATTTAAAGACGATCCAAAATAGTCATCAAAAAGACTCCTGCTAATTAATTAGCGACGGTTCAAGGATTTCATCACGAATTTAGAGATGGTTTATCCGTCGTTAATAAATAAAAAATCTATCACTAAATAACAAAAAAATGTTCATCGATTTAGCAATGGTTTTCAAAAAAACATCGGTAAACCTTCACTAAATTTAGCTTCTATTTAATGATAGTTTATCTAAAACGTTGCTAATTATGACCAAATTTAGCTTGGATTTAGCTATAGGCTTAATACCATCAATAAATCATGTTTTTACAATATTTTCGAGTCAATTATTTCATCATTCACATGCCGCTAATAAGAAATACAAAATCCAATCCAATTTAACAACTATAATAACAATATTAAAATAGAAATATAAGAAGAAAAACACTAGGTTTAACGTGGTTCGATCATGAAGACATACATCCATAGGACGAAGGTATCAACTTTTTGTTTCTATTACACTCAAAATATAGAAGCGACGAGTTCCTTTTATTGGAGCCATATACACCAAAATAGGAAGCCACGGTTCAAGAAAATTAGAATAGGAAATTAAGGCCATATTTCCTCTTGATTTTCTATGATTCTAGTCATTGATTTCTTCCTAAATAGGAAGATTCTATTCCTCCAAAATTGGAGGCATATTTCCTACACTCCCACTCAAGTTCGGTGAATAGATATCGGTCATTCCTAGCTTACTAAGATAGATATCAAAACTTGATTTCGAAGAGTTTTTGCCGAATATCATCTTCATGAGATTTGGTAGGGACATAGGAAAAAACAATAGTTCCATTGTCTATCTCATTTTTTATAAAATTTCTATCAATACTCACATGTTTCATTCGATCATGTTAGACTTGATTGTGAACAACACCGATAGCTGAATTGCTATCACCGAGCAACTTCATAGGGCTCATTCATCGGTATGTTTGAGTTTATCATTAACTTTTGAATCCAAATAAGTTCATAGGTTCCTTGAGTTATAGCTTTGTACTCAACTTCTACACTACTCCGAGCCACTATAGATTATTTCTTGCTTCTCCAAGTCACTAGATTTCCCTATACCTTTATACAATAACTAGTTGTTGACTTGCTATCATCAATACCTCTAGCCCAATTTGTATCTAAAAAACCAACAACATCCCTAACTTCATTTTTGTTAAACGAGTAAACTTTTTCCAATACTCCTTTTCAAGTATCTCAAAATCGATTTGCCAACTCCATACACCTCTTAGTGGAAGCATGCATAAATTGACTTATTATACTTACACTAAAGGCAATGTTAGTTCTTGTGAGTGATAAATAAATAATTTTTCCTACCAAGTGTTGATACCTTTCTCTATTCACTAGGGAACATCATCCGATACTTTGTGCTTCGATGTCTTTCCAAAGGTGTACTAGATGGCTTACAATCATGCTTTCCTGTC